TATACACACGAGTTGACCACCCGGTGCTCATCAATGAAACTCCTGATGTGATAACCGACAGCTAACTGGTGTTCCCGAATGTCATGTACTAATGATAATGTTTGCGATGGACAGGCGTTTTCGGTGTTCTTCGTGCTGATAGCGTTGACATCGGACATGATATGCTTCCTATTCATACCGGTTCACTGGCTATTCTTCGCGGCCAGCACTTACGTGTGGGTGCAATACGTGTGGCACACGGAACGGGGCATATGTCTGCCCACTGTCTCCCTATGGCTACTATTTGTATATATAGAGGCGTCGGTTAGACTCCGCGAACTCAAGAACTTACCCTTTCATCTGGACCTCTGCCGAACAATCGCTGCTCATTGGTATGCCTTTCCCTTCACTCACTCTCTCTCTCTCACTCTCTCTCTCTCACTCACTCTCTCTCTCTCTCTCTCACCCAACGCTCACTCAATCCATTAATCTCTTAATTCATTTACTTATTTATTACTTCAATCACTCATCCGTTAATCCGTTTATTTTCCTATTAATCCAATTATTTATGAATTAATCAGTTCATGAATGTATTCATTAATCCATTCACTCATCCGTTTACTCAATCGCTTATCCCTCTATAACTCTATCCACTTATCCATTGATTTATTCATTAATGAAATGACTTGTGAATCGATTGACTAATGGCTAATCCGTGTCCTAAATCCGGTGTATAGTATCGGTTATCCAGTGGTGACGTTGGGGTTCGGCTTCAAGTCGTACGTCTCGTATCGCATGAGGTTAAGGAAGCAGAAAGAAGTGGCCAAAGAGAACGAGTTCTATGTGGAACTCCTCCAGAAAGCCTTACCCCAGGAGGTGCCGGCGCCCCCACCCGCCCCCAGCTTACCGCCGGACACTGAGCTCATGCAGACGTCCGCCAATGGCGTCAATCATTGCGCGCCTAATCATCAAAAGAAGTCGAGTATTAGTTCAACAAATTCGGACAAATCGTTGATTATTAGCAACGGTTCGGCGAATAAATTAATTTGTGATTACGACTCATCCACCAAGAAGTCCATTCCCAATGGCATCGACAGGTCTGTACTTCAATTGTCTTTCAGTTTCGCATCGTTTCGATGATTTTCCCATTTCTTGTCACAAAGTGTGTTCAATAGTGTTATTGATTTTTGATTGATTACTGCTATGAATAGCATTCAAATATTTGGCTAATAGTTAATGCTTATAATTATGATAGTTTTTATTGATTTTATCACTATTTAATATATTTTCACCTGTGTACTTTTAATAATTTATTGCTAGAATGAGATGTGTTTTAAAAAAGTAATGTAGAATTAGAGCATTAATTCTTATACAGTACCTGGGTGTAATAGGTAGTGGCGATTGTAACTATTTTTAAGTTTTGAAAAATATAACCATAGTTTAAGATTTAGTTGACCCTGATCCTATTCCTCGCTGTTTAGCCCTTTAGGGCAATGTGTGTATTACCGGTAACCTTACTATAGTTGCTGACCAGTGGATGTATGAATTGACATTTGATTGGTGTTTGTGTTGAACATATAGACATGAATTACAATATATGGAGCATCAGATCATTAAGAAAATATCATCGCTTAACCACTTCGACAATAACGACGACAATGGCGTCGACGACATCGTAGAGCATAACAACACCACTAATAA